CCTCGTTTTATTAACGTCCCCAAGTAGAGTTGATGTTTTAAGAAACATCAACTCTACCCTTGCCTTCCTCCGTATATTCCCTGGGAAGCGGAGTCACGTGCTTGTCGACCCAAACCCACGCCCATATCAAATTATCCAAAAATTTTCTTCCGCACTTACTAAAAGAGTCAAAGCTGCAACCATGTGAGCGCTTGGCACGTCTCTGGATTTGACCCAGGACAACAAAACAAACATCAGAGCGAGAGTGCGAAGGGACGGTTGCAGTGTATTTGGCGCGACAACGTGGGGCTGACGAAGGAAGAAAGACATGACAACTTGGGACATCGAAGACGAAACGCCACGACGAAGAAACGTGTGGGAGCAGACAACACGACAACGCAGGGCTTCGGAGAGTGAAGATCGGTGCAGGAAATCAGCGAAGGTCGACCACACACGAGAGGAACATTGGACGAGGCTTCAGTTGCAGACGTCGAGACGTGTGGAGCGCCACATCGGCCGACTACCTGGACGTCCGAACCGAGGGCTGCGACGAGGTTTGAGACCTACCATCTCTAGGTACTACTGCAGGTCAGTGACAAATATCTCAACAATGGCAAGTCGAGCACTTCGTAGCAAGAAACAACTAGACTGTGGGGGCTTGAGCGAAAGTGAAATTCAGGAACTCTCTGCCGCCCAACCATTATTTTCCGATAGCTCAACTGAAGATAGTTCAGGGGAGGAAATGAATATAGTTAGAGACGAAAGTTCAGAATTGCAACAAGTCGGTGAAGCTTCCGTAGAAAAGACGACGACGACGACGACACCGACACCGGGTGTTAGTACAGTCAGTGCTAAACCTAGTGGGGACCAAATAGCTAGAAAGCATCACCCGGCCGACTTGTCCGTTATTTGGCAGACCACCCAAGAAGATAGGGCAGAGAGGAAACGAGAAAAACAGGAAAGTGATAGAATCAGGTTAGAAGATGAGAACAATAGAAAGCAGGAAAGGAGGGAAATTGGAGAGACACTAGATAAATTACAAAATGACATTGCGCAAATTTCAGAAAAGTTATCCGAACAGTTTCTTGAAAGGATGGACAAGAAGTGTGGAAATCTATATGAATCCATAACAACCCTTCGGCAAGGTACCCAGCAACAAATTGATGGTGTGAATGAGAGGATTGACAATGTAACTGAGAATATGAATGAGAAAATTGTCCAGGTAATCGAAATTGTAAATGATAAGATTGACCTTTTGAATGAGTGTGTGGATGAGAAATTAGCAGTACACTTTTCGGAGGCTAAAAAGGACTAGGAAAGGTGACGTGTCATTAACATTGTTATTCCTTCTTCCCCCTCCTCCTCCTCCCAAGCAGTACCGGTTATCAATATCGACAAGTGAGTGATCCTTTACAGTGGACGACAGACCAACGCAATATGGCAGCACGAAAAGAAGAAACAAACAAGAAATCGCCAGGTTATAAAAAATATAAAGAAGAGGCCCGCAAGAAAAAGTTGCGACGCATCACCAGGGCGCAGACCAAGCAGAGCCCGTATCCTACCTGCCCATGAACATCAATGGGGAGGCATAACAGGCAGAGAACATGTCGCTTCGTCATTACACTTGCCTGACATCTGTTGCTTGCACGTGGAAAACAAACGAGTGAGGAATGTCAGAGGTGAAAAATGACTGCTGTAAACTCTGGATTATCGGGGTGAGTAGGAAAGTAAGTCTGCCCCTGTTTGTAAGAACGCATCGCAGTTGAATTTATTTAGCAGATTCCACTACTTAAATCCCTAAAACTCTGCCCTAAGTTTTAAACATTAATTCTGTATTTTAAAAAGAAACTGGCCGTTGAAAGGAAAGACATGTTACAAGTAGTTTATATTTATATGGACATTAAATATACACAGGTCGCCATTTTTCTTGACCTACGAGAATTACATCATTTCCTACTTCAGCACTGAAATCACCTGTAATAAACATTTATTGCTGTTAAAGATTTCTGTTGGAGTTACATCAAAACCCTCTGTCACATTTTCATCACATCCCATTTGGGAAGAGTGCATCTGCATAATATTCATCACGTTCACTGCAATCAAGGCTGAGACTTTTATCATTCTGGATATAAATGTGCATCTGATTCTTTATTGTCAGGGTCTTCTGACGTCGTGCTATTATATCGAATGTCGTATCAATAATTTAAGTTACAAGAATTTTGTTTAATTCGTTGCAGCCCACTAATCCACCAATTTATGTTGAACCATCATGCTCAGGAGTTATTAAAAGCTCACTGAGCTTAATTTGTGACATCGGCAGAGGGGCCGACGACACAAATGTTCCTGTGCCATCATTTGATGAAGACTTTAGTTTGGCAGAATTTGGCCCTTATTGCCGTGAAGGATTTTTGGGCGACACTGAGGAAGCTGAAATTCAACAGTTTATCGACGATGGTGCTCAGATGAATCTCTGGCCAAACACGAGCTGACCGCCATAGAAGGCAGACAAGATGCGAGAAGGTCGACTCGGATGGTACGGTCACACGCTCCGAGCCGAAGACAGAACAATCGCGAAGTGAAAGGAAAACGGCCGAAAGGGAGACCGAGGCAGCGATGGATGTACTTGAAACCCATGTTGTATTAATGGGAATGCAACCTTTTATTTTGTTTAGTATATTATTAAAGTAGTTAATGGAAATATTGTGACTTAAATATGGGACTATGAGTGAGGAGGTATTAGGTCCCTACAGGGAAACACCTGACTATTCTAACCCCTAGGTCATAACAGCAGATAAGGATCAATCCAACCGGGACGACTGGATTAAATATGCTGTATTCGCATGCAACACCACGCCACATAGCGCAACAAACTACACGCCGTTCGAATTCATGTTCGGGCGAGCTGACAATTTACCGGGTTATCTACAGAAACCCAAACTGCATTTGTCTGAAAAAATTTAATACAGACACCTCTCCCATATATTAATATCCACAGAGTGTGGTCTGTGTATCTTGTCTGTGGGCTTTATGGTCAGTATGCTAATTATGTTGCGGTACTGGGATTTTCTTGAGGATAATATTTTTCATGTGACTACAGAACTTTGTTTAGTTCCAGCTGTGAGACATCAATTTCCGTGCCGATAAGCCCAAAACAACTTCCATATCAAGTTGTATGAGTCTGCCAGGTTAGATTATACAATTACAAAAAAGTTACAACACAGTACATTTAGCATGTGGCTCCTTCATCTCGTGTTTCTTAAGACAAGAAATATTTTCCCATCTAAATACCCTTGCATCATATTCTCCATTTCCTGTAAGCAAAATGGGGTTATTGATGTAACTGCCTTATTTCCACGAAACACACAACGAACACATTGCCTTCGCAAGCTACACTTCTAAATTTACCACTTAGAAAAACAAAATCATAAAAGATGGAAGTGTTAGTTGAGGGAACGACAGAAGAAAACTATTAAATGGTGTTCAACTCCATGTACCACTGCATCTCAGCACGTGAAATTCAGTATGGTAATAAGTCGTGGCACAAGGCCTTAATTAACACTTTGAGTGCTGATACTTATATAGAAGCAGTTTTGGGACCTATCGTAATATTAATCTGAAACACCACCGTGTCCTTTTCAATTTACTACTAAAACTGCCATTGCCCATCAAAAGCGCATGATTTATCTTTATACATGCTGTATGTTCACATGCATTGGGCAAGGACGGTCAAAGCAGGAAGCTAAACAAGCTGCTGCAAAATCAATTGTGGATAAACTCTTTGTTGCTTAAGAAGAAAATTTAATAAATTAATTCAATTAAAAGTGGTCGTCTGACAAGATCCCACTCAACCCCATTGTGGTATTGAAGGAGATGTGCAAGTAAATACAGGCCTGCTCCTACTTTTAGAGTGGGACCTACCCAAGAACGTTCGTACACGTTTTCCTCAGTTCTCATTAAACAAGATAAAGAAGTCGTCTTCAAACGTCAAGAAACTGGCGAGTTTGAGTCATGTGACCCACATGTGGTCACAGAAATAAATGGCTATATTTTATTCCTTCTAAGGATCGCATCACTATCCTGTGACCTGATAAGGAACCAATAGATGCCATATTACAAGGCACGGGAAAACCAACAATTAGAGCGGATCACAAAAAAGTAAAACTCAAAGTCACAAACCAATCATGGCATCCAAGCAGAATCTCATTTCCGAAATGGACGCAGCTGAAGAAGCTAAACTTCAACAGTTAATTGACGATGAGGTTAGTGTCAAGTGTCCTTTTTATTACAACAATTATTTGGGCCCAACATAGATTTCTGAAAGTACGAGGTGCGTCCCAAAAGTAAGTTTCCCACTCGTCCCACAGCTAGCAAACCTTATATTGAGCGAAGCGACTGTGCGTACATGATAGAGCAATGACGTAGCATGGCGCATGCACTAACGGTACTTCCCGCGTTCTCACAGTAGCATCGTTGCAGCTGTTGAAGATGGAGGTTCTTATTCCAGCTCCCGCCGACTGTGAAGTGCGGTCAGTGATAACGCTAGGCCGCACACGGCTCGACGGACAGCAAGTCTCCTGCAGGAGTTCAGCTGGGAGGTGTTTAATCATTCACCCTACAGCCCGGACCTCGCTCCCAGTGATTTCCATCTTTTCCTACACCTCAAGAAATTCCTGTCCGGTCAGCGTCAGCGTCAGCGTTTTGAGAATGAAAGAGAGGCGGAGATGGTTGTCACACAGTGGTTCCAATCCCAGGCGGCAGACTTCTACGACACAGGTATTCAAAAGTTGGTCCCACGGTATGACAAATGTCTCAATTCCGGTGGAGAATGTGTTGAAAAATAGCTGGACACTTGTTGTATCTGTTGCAATAAATATTTCCATGAAATTGTGTTTTGTTTCTGTAAACGGCCCCAGGGAAACTTACTTTGAGGACGC